TATAATCTGCCCAGGGAGATGAAACATGGGCATGAGTTAAAAAAAAAAAAATTGAAGAGGGGACTTGTTTCCTAGGATATTTAAGTCCCTTTAAAATCAGTGTTTACAATTGATGTGTGTATGGATTGCGATAACAGTTGTATGAGCCCCTAATAAAATGTTTTTAAAAAATAAAATAATAAAATAAAATCAGTGTTTACTCCAGAAATATATGGCTGGAAACACACAGTAAAAATCTTCACCTGCTCCAGGTTCAAGTACACCTACAGATGCCTCAGAAGAAAGATCTGGCGACCTATTTCCAAAAAAAACAGCCATTGGTGCACAGTCCTACTCTGAAATAAATGGAAGTATTAGGAGTAGAAATCAGCTCAATGGTAAGAAATTATCAGAATTTTCTAACTCCTAAAACTCTAAGCCCCTACAGGGATTACCATCTGAGCAAAAAAGAAAGCAATTATGTCTATTTAATCTAATGTACAAAATGCATCCTTTGACTAGATTAATTGAAGAGTAACATTTGCTGGAACATAAAATACGATGTAATTGATCAATGAAGGCACTCCTGCACTCACTGGATAAATAAGGCTTCTCACTTGTACACTTTCTCTGTTGTTTCCTAAGGGTTCACCCCTGGCAACAGGCTGTCCCACAAAGGCCATGTTCCCATTTGCTAGGAGGCCACTGTTGTTTAATGATGACTGTGATGGTACAGAAGGGTTTGGTACAGTCACTGTCTTAATAGGGCTTTTGTACTGCATGAGATCACTGGTATGTGACTTGCTGTGACTCACTGCAGACGAGATTCCCATGTTTTCTGCATCTACACATTTCTCTTGTGTGTGTATTAATTTATGGTTAAAACGTTCAAGGGTGCAGTCAAACATTTTCGCACAGATCTTGCAGGCACAAGGTCTGTCTCTTGTATGCATCCTTTTATGTAAATTCAGTTGCTTCTTTTGGTGGAAGTTTTTCCCACATTCACGGCACTGAAAGTATTTCTCTACTTTCTGTGTTCTCTGATGTATACTGAGCCAAGATTTCTTCAGAAGGACTTTGGCACAATGTGTTCCTGTGGAGGATATCTGTCTAGTATGAGTCCGCTGATGAGCACTGAGGCTTAACTTGCGAATAAAGCATTTCCCACATTCACTGCACATAGAGGGTCTCTCTCCTGTATGAATGCTCTTATGTAAAAGTAGTTGTTTCTTACGGTTGAAGGCTTTCCCACACTCACTGCAATGGAAGGATCTCTTTACTTCATGTGTTTTCTGATGCACAGTTAGCCACGATTTCTTGGCAAAGACTGTGCCACACTCTGTGCATGCATAGGAAGACTGCCTGTGAGTTCGCTGATGAACAATGAGACTTAACTCACTGCTGAAGCATTTTCCACATTCACTGCACGTACGGGGTTGCTCTCCTGTGTGAGTTTTCTGATGGATGTTAAGCCCCGGCTTTGTGACAAACACTTTGCCACACTCTGTGCACGAGTAGGGCTTTTCTCCTGCATGAGCTCTTTTATGGTTTGTGAGCATGAATTTTCGGGAGAAGGTTTCCCCACATAGACTGCAGCTATGGGGTTTCTCTACTTTGTGGGTTTTTTTATGCA